AAAGCAGAAAGCATATCAATTACATATCTCAAAAGGGAGATATTAATTTCCAATTATGATTTATGAGTGTACCTGTAGAACGATTTCACGTTAGCTGCATATGTATCGCTGATTAATTCCATTGCTATATGCAGGAAGGACAACTGTTAAAAGTGGCTTTGACGCTACTGATCATGAAATCAGAAAATGCATGTGGCTTTCAGTCATCACGGCATTATTATAATTTTAAGAAGTTACTTCGACTTTTACATATTCCGTTCGTTAATTCTCAAAATTTTCAGTGTTGGAGTCTATTTGGACCTAACGAGGATTTGATGTTTAAAAGAACGTGAACTGCAGAAGTGACAGTGCTGGATGATGACGGCATGATGACGATAATGACTGGAGGTCAATTTAGTACTGAAACATACCTTTTACCACAAAGCCGGTTACTTTGCATTTTTGGGGTTAGGAAAGAACGCACCGCTGAAAATATACATTAAGGTAGCGATTTCCTTTTATATGAATCTTTACCGTAGATCAATCAGCTTTATATACACCACGTTTATCGCATGATCTAAATGAGCAATTGAGTGCCAATTACGGTAACGCCTCATTAGAGTAAACAGCGTAGTTTTCAGAGTAAGTATGAGAAGGAACAAGCCAGTAGTGAAAAATTACATATAATACTTCATTGAAATACATGATCTTCATTTATAATTCAATATTTTTGAAAAGACTGACTAGTGCGCGATCATTGCCCAATCCAATGCAAGATCCGCTATGGTGCTGCATCTCACTGTGGTAAAGCAAGTAGAAAATAGATCGAGGATGGTGCAGTTGCCCCCCCCCATTCCTGCCTCCGTTTAGATGTCGAACCATATTGGTATGTGGATCGTGGTGTAAATTTGAGAGAATCACAGAAGGACTTGTGATTAGTTACACAATGGTAGATTTACTTCGAAATAAAACCAAGAAACAAATAAAATACAACGGTAGGCAGTTAGACACTTCATACTCTTACGGTGGAGCAGCAGCACCCTTTCCGAACTGGTCGTGTGGGTAGGTCATTTAGCGTCTATTTGTCCATTATAGGGGGTTTATTCCGCTACAGTGACTTCCAAAATCTTCCTCTTGCTTCAGTAATCTTTTTGAAACTTCCTCTGTGAGGCACGCCATTCACACTACCAAATATTACTTGAACCCACAAAAAACAACTAACACAAAGTCCTGAAATTCAGTGGCTGCAGTCGCAAAAAAAGTTCAAAAATCCAAGGTCAGAGAGATGTCAAAAGCCAATGTTTTGAACAACAGTTCAATGATACACCGTCAGGACACTTGCTTAAAATTTTTATCCCTTGTTAGATAAATAGGTTCAAACGAAAGCCTGGAAAGTCATCGTCTATATGAAAATGACTCTTGTCTATAAAAAAATAACTACTCATAAAACTACATTCCTGAGCCGCTGTGATAACTGTGAATACCTATAATACACGGTGGAAAAACGACCTCTAAGGCACTGCTAAGCGGGATTGGCAGAGCTCTTTACATCTTTAAGGTTAAAACAAAAATTGACCGGAGTATTCAACCGTATTCAGCATGTTCAACACTGTACTTTATCCACAATATGTGAGACACTCAGGATTCGTCATGCGAATAGGTAATGTTATAGGACAGGGTTCACAAGGCGAGATCACTGAACAATCACTGGATGCTATAGCTCCAATCGTTGGGACCACCGTGGAAATAAAAGTAACACCAAATAGAGAAATTCATCTTGAGGGGAAAGGCAAACCCCGAAAACTATCTTTCCGGCTCACGCAAATAAACGAACTTTAGATTCAGCCTGCTATTCATCTTCGAAAGATACGTCATAGAGCCTAAATGACGTCGGTACACACACAGAGAATACCTGACCCGCTATGACATCGGTACCCTCAGTTGAAGGTCCAGATTCCTTCAGTTTACTTACAGATAAGCTCACAGACATAATACGACAATTTGAGGAATTGTCAATAAACTCCACTCACATACCGTTGTAGGCATAATGGCTTTGAGAATTTTCAAGATGTTTGTGGCTTTGATTCACACTCAAAGCAATAACTTAAACAACTCATTTTATATACTGTTGCTGATTATTTAGACGCGTGTTAAACTCGATTTAAGTAGATCTATTTCAGCATTGATAAGGACAAATAATGTCACTAGTCAGTAAGTAACCTCGTCATACACTCATTCACAAAAAGTTCTGAATGATTAATAAATAACGTACGGCGCTACCTATTCGCTGTTACCTTCCCTGGGACGCCTACTGCGTAGTGTTTGTAACGCTAACTAGCGAAAGCACTCATTGATTCCACTGGCTGGCAATTGGTCAAACAGTTCCATTAGTTGACTTGACCATAAAGCCATCGTCGATTTATCTTCATTTCCGTTTGATCGACTGAAGAGCATGAAACAATGGCGACCACTCCGGACGCTATAGAAACCATCACCATGTCGCTCGATAGAGTTTGAGAGTCTTCATGAGTGCCAAACTTCCTACGGTCAATAATTGACCACGGGGCAAAATAAATAACGCGTTAGATCGCTGACCTTGCTCCTATGGGGTTATTATAAATATGGCTGTGGCCGGTGCTCGTTGAGCTAAGGAGTGCTCCTCAAGTCGAACTGCGCAAATGCGCCGCCGAAACAGTCCGGGCAATCAGATAATGTATCGTTGACGATGCATAAAAGCTACAGATTCCAAGGTCACAGGTACCATACGACTCTGCCACGCCGTACCGGAAGTCGAATGATGAGTACAAGTTCAGCTAACCACCACCATTGTAATTTGGTCACTGAACTTCTGAATGGAAAAACGAAATTTGCCAAAGGTTAATTTCTTGGGTTCTTACTTGTGTCCCAACGAAAGAACGAACCATTACCAAAATCAGTTACCGCTGGCACAAAACTGCATGATGGACTATATTTTCTCTCGTCTCTAGCCTAGAACAGGTCAGAGTGTATCAAGAAACACAAAACTAATGAGATTTGGTCGTATGTGGCTTTAGAAAAATATTTTCACTGTCATAATGCAAAATCAAAAAAAAGAATATAATGCAGTACAACATGCGTTGAACAAATGTAATGAATATTGACATAGAGGAATCATATACTGTACGTTGTGCTGAAAAATCACGATAACGACGACCCATATGAAACATTTTGGCCATCGGCAACAAGTGAGCCAAATTCATAATAAACAAGTGAAACAATTCATAATAAACAGGAGAGGCCATCCTTTACCTACTCAACGGAAAAGCGGCAATAACTGATACAACTATAAAGCAATAAACATTCTTGATGTTTCCGAAAAGATGGAATTAAGTCAGGCTGGTCGCCTGTCCTTGAAATGTAAAACTTCAAGAAGATGTTTAGAACTACTGCTGTGCACTCAAATCAGTTCCTACTTAATTATTTAAGTATTTGAATACTTACGTATGTTCAACAAAAAACTTATCCACTTTAACTTAAAGCAACAATGCATAACCTCTGCGTTATAACTGGGAAAAAAATCTTATCAGCAACATTTCCCCATACTGCAGGCGCTTAAAAAAGATGGAAACATGTTTGATTATTTTTCCGACACAATTTGTTTCCTCCATCCAATCCTAGTCTTTTTAACGCCAATTATTAATATTATCATGGATCACCGCCACAGGTTGCCGGAAATAATTTCAAAACAGTTTCATACTTGGCTGTAGCACTTAAAACCCGTAGAAACCGAGGCATCTGAACCTAAATCATCTGAACCACACAACGTAGCAGCCAACTGCATTCAACCAGAACAAAAAATATATAGAAACAATTTTAAAGTGTTAGAGAACCACTGCATCGAAATATCAAACCATTCGTTTAGCAACTTCATCGTTGCCGGTCCCAAGCCTGAATGAGAATGGAGGAATACTGGACACTGTGGCGATGACTCCCATAAAAACAAAGCCACCTGCTATACATGGCATTGCTGTCATCGAATATTACACTGACTCAGGGACTGCGCAGGCAACAGGGAGACTGGGGCAAGGTACGAAAAGTAAGCGATCAGAATCTGCTCATTGCCTTCTGGCAGCCCGAAGCATAGCACCAAGACAACAACTGCTGAAGATCGAAGAAACGAAATGAAGATACCAATCAACAACGGAGTCGCTATCCGTTCTGAACGAAGGAGGCAGAAAGCGCGATGTTATTATAGCACGTCAGAAAGGCTCTACGAGAACAACACCACCAGTGGGAGCTTACAGTCGGAAATTGGAATGTATCCTGACTCGGAGGGAAACAGGAAGAGTTCGATGATGAGGCAGTAAGGAACCTACTCGGCATTGTTGGTCTCACGTCATCGAAGCGCCAAGGCTCTGGAATCCCGAGCCACTTCGGGTGGAACCTATTCTACTCAGGTGTCGATATCACGACGCGCGCTCAGGTCGGTGTGGGTGTTCTGGCAGAACCCAACCGCGCAGACAGAATCATTGCTTGGAAGCTTGTCAATGAAAGGGTGGTAATCTCTGACTGAAGCTACAACAGGCTAAAGCGTTGGCCTTGCTACAGGTCTATGCACTAAATTTTGAGGGAGAACATGACTCTCTCCTTGAGGAGATGGGGTGCACCCTGCATGATCATTCGTAAGACGATATGATTACAAAATCGACCATCGATTTCTGTGCAAAAGCTTACCTGTACCACATATCCAGATGCAGCCTTGGACAGCTGATGAAAGTGTTCATAACAAACCGTTATTTACGCGAAACCGCAACAACTTCATAAAGTTATTGTTGAGGTCGTTAGGACCGTTTTTTTTCCAGTGAAACTTTTTTACTGTTCAGTGTCTGCGAAATATAATCGCCCATTAAAATAATAGAGTGCGCAGTCGGTAATTCGTACAGAGCGCACTGGACTTCCTCAAGGAAAGAATCATAATCACTCTCTAAATTGGGCATATAGATCTGTAACAAGGTAAACGCTTTAGCTTGTTGTAGCTTCAGTCAGGCGATTGCCACTCTAACGCTCACAGGCTTCAAATCAGTAGTTCTATCGGCGAGGTGGGGTTCTACCAGAACACCAACACCGGCCTGAGCGCGAGTCGTGATATCGACGCCAGAGCAGAACAGCTTCCATCCACTGAGGTTCAGCAATCCAGAGCCTTGGCGCTTCGTTGACGAGAGTTCAACAATGTCGAGCTGGTATTTTATGGACTCATCAACTAACTCTTGTTCTTTCCCTCTGAGTGAAGATCAATTCCAATTTCCGACTGTAAGTTCCCACTAGCGGTGTCATTCTAGTGCACCCTTTTCTGACGTGCTGTAATGGCATCGCGCTGTCTGCCTCCTCCGTTCAGAACGGGTAGCGACTCCGTTGCTGACTGGTATCTTCGTCGTCGCTCCGTCGGTCTTCGTCAACCGTCTTTGTGCTGCCATGCCCCCGGCTGGCAGCGGGCAATGAGTAGTTTCTGATCGCCGACTTTTCGCAGTCTGCCTCAGTCCCCCAACAGCCTGCGCTGCCCTTGGTAACCCGAATGACAACCGAGTCGTCGTGACGTGGATGCCATGAGGGGAAGCTAGTTAAGTTTCACGAAGACTTGCCACGGTTTCCAAGCCTCCTCATTTCTGAACCAGGCTCTGGACCGGCAACGTCGCTAAGGTGTTGTAGTCGAATTTCCAGACAGCAAACAAAGTATTCCGCCAGATAATTCGCCAGCTCCTTGATGAAAAGAAGGGCAGTCCTGCCTTCTTCAAGAACAGATCTGGACATCCTCTTACCAAGGATGATGACATTCTTCGGTGATGGAGGGAGTACTTTGAGGAACTCCTTAACCCCGCGCAACAGCAGGAAGACTCGCCTGTAGAGCAGAAGGGTACGAATATTACTCTCTCTGTAGATGAAATTACACAAGCTGTGAAAAGCTTCAAAAATAAAAAGGCTGCTGGAATTGATGAAATCCGCCCTGAAATGCTCAAATCATTAGAGGAACAAGGCATGCTCTGGCTTACGCGTGTCTGTCAAATCCGAACACATCAGAGTAGTGGAGAAGGAGGGTTGTTTTACTCCTGTTGAAGAAGGGAGACCCAAAATTTTATGCAAGGATGCTAGAAATGAGGTGCCGTGAAATAGTTTACCTCAAGATCCAAGAAAAGCAGGTTGCTTCCGGCCCGGTCAAAGCACCTCTGACCATATATTTGCCTTGCGCCAGATTGTTGAGAAATCGTGGGAGTACGCCCAGCCGGTGTACATGTTTTGTGGACCTAGAGAAAGAGTATGACCGGATTCCACTCAACAGTCTGTAGACATGCCTTCGTACATACGGGATTCATGGCAAGTTGCTGAGGGCCATCCAGTCATTGTATTCTGATAACAGGTGCTGCGTCAGAGATAATGGCCTTAAGTCGAAATCATTCAACGTTCGCACTGGTCTCCGCCAAGGCTGCGTCCTGTCCCTTATCCTGTTGTACATGGATAGAATAGTCAGGAGCTGCCAAGGCGATGAGGGTATCTGTGTAGGAGATGTGAAGACGAGAAGGTTGCTGTTTTGTAGACGACCTTGTTTTATA